GATGGCAGTAGTGAAGATCAAGCAAAATTGAAGAACATTGCTCCAAACATGCCACAGCAGTACTACATGGAGATCCAGGGAAAGAAGAGAAGACACATTGCAGAATTGGATTCAGCCCCTGCCCTCGAGCAGGATGAAGGACTGTTGGGTTTTCTCGTGCTGTGTTATGTGTTTGGCTCCTGTTGTTTCAACCAACCAAACTATAATCTTAATGCATTTTGCATAGATGGTCATTGTCAGCTTTTGCCAGGTCTATTTGCGCAGTTGGAGAAGCTTGATTCCAGGACGTCTCAGTCTGCGCTACAAGATCAAGCTGCAAAGGAAGGGGAGGCGGCTGCCCATGATGCCATTGTCAACATTACATCCCACTTAGATGTCAAGAGACGAAGGACAAGGACAACAGCAGAAGGAGAGAAGCAAACACGATCCACAAACCAACGGATGGAAGGAGCTACCTCATCATCTCTGTATGCTGAAAGTACTGTACATTTGGGCCATTCTGACATCAACTTTGCTTTGGTGAAGCGTTTCGATTATGCAGCAGCTTGCCTTCAAAAAAGGTTCATGTGTCAATCCAAATTGATTATGCCCATGAATGAGCATTGTTGACCTGACAGACTGACTGATACCACACAAACTGGACATTGTGACGCTGTGCTCACTGGAGTTTGTACAGGTACCAGCTTATACTGTGATTTGCAAGCTCCACACCTACAAAGACGGTTCTGGCAAGAAGCATACCTGCCAAAAGATGATGAACATTAACAGGCCAAATGAGCAGACTGTGCTATTGAGGTTGAGGGCATGGTGTTTGCATGGAGACTTGCTCTTCCGAGTAAACTGTAAACTAACCAGTAGTAGGACTAGGGAAACTGGCCATCAGTAGCAATAGCAAATGCAATTTTAGACAACTAAGGAGTGGAGATGCGACAGGGCCGTGATGAAACAATGGAAGAATTGAGACAGCGTCATGTATACTTTGAACCTTGGGTGCACTATGCACTACAGCTACCACATTTGCATTAACATGTAGTTGACAATGACAAATGAAAACAGCTCAGCTTTGTTTTTCTGCATGCCAAGAACCCATCCACTGATCCAAACATCCTTGGGACCTGTGCTGAGCTACTTGGATAGATCATTGTTTTGCTTTTCCAGAAGCAGATAGATCAACTTCATTCTTTTTTACAAATGTGCCACCAATGGTTGAGGCTTGAGGATCGACTATCCAATGCGATTGATAGATACAACAAGGCTTTGCCCGCATCTGAATAAAAATAGAGCTTCAATCTTCAATCCTGGTCATGTTGTCATGGTGGAAATTCACCAAGTCTTGTGATGTGCTTTGCCATTGTGCGATAAACCTAACATCACTTGAATCACACTAAGAGGCTAGTGGTCTGGTGTGTAAATTCCTTGTTCACAGGCACAATTTCCTTATGTACAAGCTAAACTCCTTAAATGCAGGCGAAATTAGCTTAAATTCAGAGGTACCTCTGTACATAAGGTTTTTCTATTTATGTGGATCTGCCTGTCACTAAGGAAATACATTGACAAAAAGCATTGGCGACCATCTGTTTTCAGGCCATTCCTTAGTGACAGGCAGATTCACATAAATAGAAAAACCTTATGTACAGAGGTACCTCTGAATTTAAGCTAATTTCGCCTGTATTTAAGGAGTTTAGCTTGTACATAAGGAAATTGTGCCTGTGAACAAGGAATTAGTGTCTGTGCATAAGTAATTGGATACTGCCACATTGTGTTGGCGTGTGCACAAAGATTTGTTCCACTGTGGACTGTAACTACTCAGCCGTGCAGTTCAATTTGCATTTTGTGAAGGCACAAACAGGAACATAAAGTTGTTTATGTGAGCTGCAAAAAAAACATCAGTGCTCCTGAGCCATGAGCAATGCTGGGGCTGGGAATTCAGGATCTCGGTCAGGCTCAGGCTCTTCATCAGGGTCATCAAGCTCAAGTTCTTCTCCGGATTCGGATTCTGCGCCATCCAACAAATCCAATTCTCAGGAGAAATCACCAATGAATGCTGATCAGGAGATGCGCACAGATCAACAGGCTGATGACAAAATTGATTTTGTGAATGCTCACAACATGGAGGATGATCAGGAAATGTTTCAGGAAACGGTCCTGGGAAACACAAAAAGTGGCATGGACTATATGGCGCTCGCAGAAGCAGCTGATGTGGAAGAGGTGGGGTCTTCAGTTGTTCTATCATTACTGGTTGTTTGCGAACTTGTCACTTGTGAGTATTATATTTAACACCAATAGCTAACAGCAATACCAATCTCATTGCAAACTCAGCTATCTCAGGACTTTTGGACGGCAGATTTTCCAGAAGCTCCATCGACTTTGGCAGGCCTATTTGCATGGCCTGCTTATAATGCATCAGTGCTTATGACACAGGAAGAGCACAAGAAGACATTCTTCAGTTTGCTGGAGAACTGTGAGATTCAAATATTTGAAGCGTTCGCTGGCACATGCAACGGATCATCCAGCATGAAGCAGCAATACAATGGCTTGGTTTCAGCTGCAGGACGCCCTGCTTTCTTTGATGTCTTGCAAACTGAGGTAGACAAACAACATGACAAACAACTTGACATGTTTGGCTCTGACTCTGACAGGCATTGGTGCTGATGCATCCTTTATCCGAACGGTCACAGCCACAGAGAACAATGGAGTTGCCCAGAAGGTTCTATGTGGCCTGCATTCTGCATATCGTCCAGAACATATATTGAAGGATCTTGATTTTCATATCACACAAGACTCGAGAGATGCTTTGACTCGAGCCCATCAAAGCATCATGACAGAGCTTGAATGGGAACTGAGCATTTGTGGCTGCACTAGTCATGTACTCACATAATAGTATCGGTCACTGGTCCGAGTCGAGTCTGGTCGGTGCAACAAACAAAACTCAGTCACTCAGTTATGTCAAAACAACATATTCCTCATCCCAGGTACGACGTGTGGAGATGACAATATTTTGGGAAAGAAAGCAATGTTTGGGTCGAGATTGCTGGATGACTACATGGACATCCTCAATGATCCTGGTGCTTTTGACATTCGAGCTCCTTGCTGCGTGTGCAAAAAGGCAGGGTCAAGGTCATTGCATATTCAATATGTGTATGCGACTGTTCAGTTACGTGTTTGTTGTTTTTTAATTAGATAATGCATTTTTGCAAATTTGCAGCATCGACTTGAGGAGTGCTTGACACCATTTGGACACTACATCGGCAACACAACATCAACATGTGTTGATGATGATACGAAGCCCAAGTCAGCAGGAAGCAATACGAAGAAAAAGAATAGCAATGTGCCAGCAAAGCGTATCATTCGGCTTCACATGGGTGGAACCATTTGTGTGGATGTCAGCTTTATGGGTCAGGTACTGAGTTGACTTCTAGATTAAACATGTGGATAACAACATAATTATATCAACATATTCAATTTCAATGGCAGATTTCGAGAACATTTATCAATTTCAATAAAATGAGCAACGAGCACCAGCCATTGAGGCAACAGGGCAGCACTTTTGGGAAAATCTACACGCTTTCTGGCTATTTGGCTGGCCGAGATCCTGGCATGCAAGCCAGCATCTTGTCTTTGATTAGGAGTTCATTGTGAAGCCGTAAATGAACAAAGTGAAATGATATTTCAATGTCCAATAAACTTGTTATCCAAGGAGCTTGTGTTCCATGAGTGCACAGCGAAGTTTGCTCAAGATGTCTTTGGGAGATACCTTTCTGAGCACTATGACATCTATAAGTTTGAGGCTCCTCCTGGTCATGAGGCACGTTCACTGGCCACAATCCAGCCTCAAGCCTGGCTTTTGAGCCCGCACCATTTTGGATGGCCATGCCACCGGCCAAGGTTACTTGGACATAATTGGATGACACTAGTCATGACCTTTCCAGATTCATGACATTTAGGCTGTTCACCGTTTTGGTGAAGAAGGACTCTTGTGTGTTGGCCAACGGTGGCTTGCGCACCATCAACATGCTGTATCGAAGTGTGACTGCAAGCACTGGTGTCCTTTACTGCGCTTACCCTGAACCATGGCCTGAATTGGATTGTTTTTGCTTTGTTCTGATGGTATATGGCATGATTGCTGTGACTGTGACTAGATTGACTTGATATTATCGAGGACGAAGTTGAGGAGGAGAGAAATCGATTGGCAAATCAGCGCAAAAAGTCTTTGAAGAGTCCATTCCATAAGCTGCTCACAGGACCTGGAAGCTGATGTCACATGACCTGCTAAATGCTGGTGTGATTCGCAGAAACTCATGCGCTAGTGTTTCTTTTGTTGTATGGCAGGAACACAGCAGGTTTGGCTACAAGGCTACAAAGACCACAAGAAAGTAAGATCGCTTTTTCGCCGTGGACATATTCTTAGAGATGATGATGACAAGTTGTTTTTTGACTTCAACTGTCAAGCGTCACAAGTGACATGATCTGACTTGTATATAATTGCTCAGGAGCACGAATGCTTATGTGCAACTTGTCCCAAAACCCTAATGCCCGATGTATTGTTGCAAGAAACCTGCCAACTTTGCTAACACATGGTACTATGTGGTGCCTTCGTCGACCTCAAGTTCTTGATCAAGACGATGACGAAGAAAGAATGATGCTGGGTCGAGTTCCTTGGTGAAAGTCATTGTCATTGTCATACATATGACTATGCCATATTTGTTTTCCTTGAGCGGCAGTTACAGCGGCAGGAACACCTGGTCGCTATGGGCATTCCTATGTACTCCTATGTGCTTCAAGCAGCAGCAGCGGACCAAATGGACAAAAGTTGCAGCAGTTCTCATCACTTTCCTCACATGGGGTGGGTTCCAAGTGATGCACAGTGCAAGAAGCTTGCTGGCAATGCAGCTTGGTGTTGTTTTTTGCGACATTTGAGCAATGCACATGAACTTGAATGTGCTTTCGTGTTACTCTGCTAGTCAGGAGTTTGTTTTTCTCACACTCATGATTCTAAGGCAATGCATTGCGCTGTCACCGGAAGCATCCATGCTTGCATCCTGACTTGCCTGAAGCTGTTGCCGCCTGTTGCCGCCAACAGCCTGAATACCAGTGCTGGCGCTGATGCAGATCAAGATTTAGTCTGATGACCATGAATCTTGACAGTTTGTGATGAGATGAGATGAGTCTTGACAATTGGGACTAGACTCGCTTTTTGGTGGATGCAAACCTAGAAGCCATATCTTGGCTGCAAAAAAAAGTCATCTGATTTGAGCGCTGGAGTGCAATTGCAGAATTGAGGGAATGAATTGTCATTTCACCATGTTATCCTGCTTGTTTTGTTTGTTACTCCGCTTGTTGGTCGGAGCCATTTGGCTACTTTGCCGGAGTACCAGACTTTGCCTGTGTGAAACCAAGCGTGTTCAGTGGTCATGGTGGACAATGGAATTGGTCAAGATGCAGCTCCACCTTGCATTAAGACCGGATTCTGTGGCTGCTGTAGGGTTGGATGTAGGCACCGGCCTGGCAGGCCGGCTGGCCGGCGGGTCAGGGACAGGGACAGGAAGCTTGTAACTGAAAACAGGTAAGTCGGAGTGACCAGTGACCAGACTGAACTTGGACCTTTCAACTTTTTTGATGTCATCTTACTATATTTTTTGGATTATATGATTATATATGTTTATATATACTTTTGTATAGTATTTTGTTGTTTTGCGCCATTTTGCGCCAGGCCCTTTGATCTGTGTGGATTTCACGAGAAGAAGGACAACCAGTTCATGGATCAAGGGAAAAAAGCAGGAAAGGAGGAGGTTTTGAAGGACATGCGTGAGAAAGATCCAAAGCAGTATTGCAGATTGCTGAGCCAATACTCTGAAACGTGCCTTGGCAAAATATTGTACTATTGGATGTTGTCGCACAGCACAGCACAGTAAGAGTGTTGAGTGCTGACAGTGCTGAATGCTTCTGATTGCAGGCGTTCAGGCCCAGGACGTCCTGCTGACAATACACGGTTTGACTTTGGCAAGATCAGCAAGATCCAGAGGGAAGGTCAGCGCATGGAAGAGGGATTTACTCTCAGGCCATTTTGCTACGAGGACTATATCTCCTACTACACGAAGCATCCTGACTGTCCTGCTTACCAAAGATACTTTCCAGCATTGGACTGACTATCAAGTGGAGTGGAATGTGCCCCATGCTGTACTTTCTCGATTCTATTCTGGTCTGCTTAGGATTGACAGAGAAGGGTGCGCAATCGAAATGGTGGTCTGACTTCAAGAATCCAGAGGTTGAACGATTTCAAGCACCACGATTGTCCCCTCAAGGAGAACCAACAGGAGAGTTGGTCAATTCCTCAGATAAGTGCAAGTCAAAAAAAATGAATTAAAGCAAACAGTGATGCATAAGACACGAACAGTGAATCATGAAATGAATCAGAAATGTGCTTTGTTCTGGCTATCATGTTGTTCTTTCTTTGTGCACAGTGCAAAGGTTTGGAACATATATGTCCCAATCCCAAAGAAGAAGAAGAACTTTACCTTCAAGGACATTTGGGTATGGGGTGGTGGGCATGGTAGGGGTATGTGTGTGTGTGCTAGATGGTGAATGGTTGTTGTGTAGCAAATGACAGCATGTTTCAGGTTTCAGCCATCAGTTTGTCACTGCTGTTTAAAGTTTGAATGGACGCTCAGACTCCAGACTCACTCGGCTCAAAGATAATACAGTTACAAACCGAGTGACACTTTGCAGTGTGTGTAGTGCTCAGCTAGCCTTCATTCATTGACTGCACTGTCAGTGACCAGTGACAGTGCTATGCCGCCTCAAACGCCGAATCGTGCTGGCGCCGGTGCTCATGCCTCATCCCCCCAGATGCTGCCATCTCAACAAGCACGCTGTGAGCAGCACCCAGGCCAAGTATATCTCAAAGGAATGATGGCCGCTCTGAACTTTGCTCAGAGTGTTACTAATGAGACACGAAATCGCTCAAGTGGATCAGATGAGGGCCAGGAACCACCACCTCCACCAGAGATTCGCACGAACAACTTTGAGAAGCTGATTCTGGCAACGCTTGTGGTGATCATGCAAGAGCTTCGTACCTTGAACGATCAACTGGCATTGGCTCCAACAACATCACCATCAGAAGTTCCTGATCATGAGCCATATGAGAGGTCAAGTCGTGATCGTTCGCGCTCACCAAGGCGCCGCTAAAGCCAGCGCCGCTTGTGAGAGTGACAATAGTATGCAGTGGATTGGAATTGACAAGTTGCTGACTCACAGAACACTTGTGGAGAAAAAGGTAGCATCACTGCTGCTTTCGTTGCATGGCTCTGTATGCACTTGCATAATATGATTCATTCTTGATCTTGATTTTGTTTGCTGGTTTGCTTTTGAGCCAATTTAATCTGCTTGCAGGAAAGGTCGATTGATACGGAAAAGCAAATTGAGTACCAGAAGAGCTTGACGGAAACCAACTCCCATACCATGGATGCAAAGGCCAAAAGCTGCGCCATCGAGTTGGCAGAAGATGATTCTTTCTTTGGATCAGCAGGCAAGTCCACTTTGCCTCTGCCAAGTGGGGCAAGCGCAGCTACACGAGCAATCCCTTCGGTTCCAGTTCGTTCACGTCAGCGTGGCAAAAATAAGTGCCCTGTGGCGTGCGCGCTCAACAAAAAGCGTGGGACAATGAAGCAGCACCTGGCATGCCGGGACTCTATCAGGAAAGGAGCTGCGAAGGGCGCTGAAGTTTTTGCAGAAGTGGCTTGGCTTACTAAGCTTGACTTGAGTGAGCTTGGTTCTATTTACTTGGCAACCGAGCATGAGTTGGCTGTGTCGTGAGGCAATGCAGCTGTATGATGATGAAGATGCTGCGCGAGCGGACCCGCGAATTGTTGAGATGGAATGTCGAATAAAGACGGTCACTTGACTACACTACACACTAAGAAACAACATGATTGACAACATTGTTGCCACAAACATTCATGTGTGATTCATTCAATGCCTTCGCAAGGTAGAGTTGGCTTCCAACGAGTCTGGGGATCCAGATAAGTATGAAGAACTTGAGAAGGAACTCTGGAAGCTTGTGCAGGCTGATCCTTACCTGTCATCCATTCCAGATCTTCAGCAAGAGGAAATCCAAACCCTTGGCCATTTCACCTCTGTACGTGACACATCTGAGCTTCTCCCAGACACTGACGCAGTTGAATCAACATTTGATTTGCACTCGCGAGCCCTGCAACGTATGACGTCAATTGGCTCTTGCTTGTTGACAACAGCGACAGAATGGTCATCAAACCGAAAAGCTATCCAGAAGGCTAAAGAGATGGAAAAGAAAGCAAGGGAAAAGGAGGAAAGCAAGCTACGAAAGAAAGCTCAAAAGGCAGAGCAAAAGCGCCTGGAGGCTGAGCGGAAGAAAAATGAGCAAACAGAAGGAAATCAAGATGATTCGAAAGGCGATGGCAAGAGAAGAAGAGTTGGAGGAACGCGAATTGCCAGTCAAATGTCTGATTCCGACCCAAAGTGTTTGGTTGAGAAGTTTGATGAGATGTTCAAGATTGACGTGGTTGAGGAGCTGGAGCTTTGGCTGCAGTATATATATATATATCACATTTTTCACACTAGCATAGCTTACTGCCCGAAAAGACACTTGATAGATTATTGTTCTACTGACAGTGGCTCAGGGCGAGAGAGCATATGAGATCATCCTGAAAGCCAAGCCATTGATCGTGCGATTGCGCCGAACGCAGATCAAGAAAGTCTTGAATGCCAAAACCTCAGTTCATGACATAATTCAATTTGGTTGGCTGTCTGTCAAACAGGTAAAACCAACAAAAATATTGTGTTGCAACATATATAGTATTGCCTGCCTTGCTGCAGAGCTGACTTTTGCTTGCAGGCCCATGGCCATGAGAATCACCAGAAGCTGCAAGTATGGTGCCAATCAGTTGCAAGCCAGCTACGTACTTTCACAGCAGAGGCTGTGGCCAGCTTGCAGAATGATGAAAACAGACGAAGCGCAATCAAGCCCCTCGAGTGTGAATTCCAGACAGAGTTGGCTTTGGGAAATCTATTGATGGCTCATCTCGAAAAGATGAACAAGGACCTGGACCTAATCCATACTGACTAGTGACTGACTGACTCGAGGTGGCTTCAATATATGAATACTTAGACTCTAAACTCTAAAGTATACTAGATATTTACCTAATAGACTGCTATTTTTTTGTCATGCTTTTGACTCCACGCCATGCTCTTGAGCTTTGACAATTGTGCGCTGGAGGAGGAGCAGAACAAAATTCCTGCCCACATCCTTGATGTGAACACCCTGCAGGATTTTCTCACCAAGAATAGTATCTCGGATGCGCAAGAGACATTGAGCAAGTTCGTGACTGCGTCTTTCTATGCCTTTCGGAATGGCTCGACGTCTTCTGGCAACACACCCAATGGGCTGGGCCTTGTTCAGTACCAGATTGAAGGCAGTCGATTGTTTGCAATGATTGGTTTGGAGGAAGCCATGGAGCATTTGGGATGTGACAAGGTGAAGGACAAGGGATGTGTTAAATGATTTGTGCAATTCGTCGCATCTTTGCTAAGCTATCAGTCTGAGTCATCATCAGTCTGAGTCTGAGTCGTTTGAGTTGACAGGATGTGGCGCTGGAGTTTGCAAATCTTACACCGAAAGACGACCGCTACCTTGCGAACAAGTTTGAGACACTCAGGTTTGGCATCCTGCTTCCAGGTGATATGATGGTGTCCCCACCAGGGTACATGTGTGTTGAAAAGATGCTCAACAGCACTAGCATTGGAATCAGATCAAGTATGCCGATGGTCCATATGGATACCATGAAGTCAGTCGAGATTTTGAACAGTGCTGTTCCGAGTCTTGGTTGCACTTGCAATGTCAGCAATGGACCACCAGACCCTACTAAGACAATGTAATTGCAAAACCAATTAAGGACACACATCAGCCGATTTGCACAGTCATCCGCAGTGGAAGCCATGAGAGTTTTCAAGTGGGACATGAAAGTCAAGGTGGGCAACTAAGAAAGTGAACATGATTGTGCGCTTGTCATGTTTGTTTCAGTTGCATGCATTGCATTGCAGTTGCTGTTGCTGCACTGTTGAAGCAGGTAGAGCGAACAGATGAGGACCAAGAGGCTCCAGCCAGTACCACAACAAATGAAAGCCATTTGGCGGTGGCAGTGGCCCAGCATCAAGAGAAGCCAACGCCACCTGTTAATGATTTGCCTGACCCTCAGATTCAAGTTCATGACCAATTGCCAAAGCCACCTGATGCTGGCGATGGCGAAGATGATGGCAATGATGGCGATCACAAAGCCTTCAGGGTTACAACAAAGGGACGGCGCATCAGAGAAGGGGTTGCCGAAGTTGCAACATTGCCCGACGTGATCCACAGGTGTTTTGTCTTGGCGAGCACCAGCAAACTTCCAAATTGGCAGAGAGAGCTCAGCAACTTCATGTATCACGACATCAGTGAAGATGAGTTTTCATCCATGCTTGAAGAAGCTTGTGGACACAGTTTAATCAATGAACACATGGCCCACATAGAGAAAATTCTTGGACCTGATGCAGAGGACTGGATTTTTGGCCATGAAGAAGGCGACCCGCTGGAAGATTTGATTGCTTTCATGGAGTGGTGTGTTGACAACGCACTTTCAAAGGACAGTGAGAAGGCTGCCCAAGTCACAGCAACATTGTTCCCACAACCAAAGATGCCAACACCAGCAGTGACAGTCGTCACAGAAACCACACCAGCTTTGCCACTGGCACCACCAGAAGCGGCAGCCAGCCAGGTACCAGCACCAGCATTGGCGCCAACGGAACCCACTGCCCCAGAGCAACCAGAACCAGAAGCACCAACAGATGCCGTTGCATCCATGGAGGCACCACCAGCAGAAGTGGCAGCCAACCAGGCACCAGCAGCAGCATTGGCGCCA